AGATTTTATTTATTTATTTGAGAGAGAGAGAATGAGAGAGAGAGCATGAGGGGGGGAGGGTCAGAGGGAGAAGCAGACTCCTCGCTGAGCAAGGAGCCCAATGCGGGACTCGATCCCGGGACTCCAGGATCATGACCTGAGCCGAAGGCAGTTGCTTAACCAACTGAGCCACCCAGGCGCCCAAGCATCTTAGTTTTTTTTCTGGAGTTCTTATTGTCTAAAAAAGTAACAGTACTAGGAAGAATGTGGGCATTGATATAGAAGGCCTAGATTTTAATCCTAACTTCATCCTTGTTAACTGTATGATCTCTGACAAGCTATTTTACCTCCCTCAACTTATGTATGTGAAAGTGTTCTGAAGCTGTAAAGTATTACACAATCCTTAATTATCAGTACTGTTTAAAAGTTTATTTATAGTTTTAAGTTCCTGCCCTTCAGTTGAGCTGGATGGGCTATTTCATTGATTTTAATAATATTTTAAATATTGCTACAAAAGCTGCTGGACTTCTCAGCCATTTACAAGAAATACATGCCTTGTTAGAAAGCAATTAAGTAGTTAGCTTAAGTAAAATTCTATACATAATTTATTTGTTCCATAAGATAAAATGTTGTTCTATTTGACATCACTGTTTTCATATCCCAGTCCTTACGAGCTGCTTCCAAATTATCTGCTTATTGTAAGGTTTACTTTGGAAACACTGTGTTCTTCCATGCTATTTCCAACTCTACAGGCACTGTGAACCCTCAAGGATGTAGGCCCCTTCCTATGTTTACATTTCACCTAATACATAAACAAGAACCTCAAATATTGCTGTACCATTACTGACCATTTTTTCACACAATAATTTAGTAAGTATTAAATTATGGGCCCTGAATGAGCCATTGTTATAAAATACCAAGAAGATTAGATAAATGATAAATACATAGTTGAGAACCTCAAATATTGCTACACTATCACTGGCCATTTTTCATACAATAGGTATTAATTTATGGGCCCTGAATGAGCCATTGTTATAAGTACCAAGAGGATTAAATAAATGAAGGTTTAATTCTTCTTATATGTATCTCTGGATCACTGACAAGGTATTCTTATATAAGCTTTTTACTAAAGTATCCATATCTTAATCAATTTTCATTTTGATTAATTTCCTAATGCATTTGGCAAGCTTCTATTTTCAAATTATTTGAGGTAAGCTTAGCATTAAGATCCATGGAAAGTGAAAAGCATATGACCCAGCTCTCACCCCACTAAAATCATCAGCATTTTCTAATTTAAACCATCTGTCTTAAATTTTCAAAACGAAACTTCTATGTATGAAGAAAATATACAAGAGGAAACCCTTATTTTTTCCCTGGTATTTCAATAATGGTAAAATTAAAGAAAACAATCACCTTAACCTCTTTTTGAATTTTATTATTCTAAAATGGTTCTATGAAAATGTAGTAGATATAAAATGTAAATTTTATAAATTTCCTATTCAGCTTCTAACAAATTTTGCTTTAATGTTCACTTACCCTTAAGATTATAAAAACATTTCCCTCAGATAAAATAAACAGTATCCTTTTACAAGTAAGGCAAAGTAATTGGAGTCCTTTTTCAGATTAAATTACTTCCTTTAATTAAGTTATATACTTACATTTTGCCAACTGCTGGTGCAAATTATTCAGTGTGTTCATCAGATTTTTACATGGTTTCTTTGGAAGTATCTTCCAGGCTACATTTTTCTTGTCACCAGTTCTGAGATTAAATGACAACAATAATATATTTGTTAGATGGACTTTTTTTTGCTATATATAAAAAAGGGAAAAGAGAAATTCATTGAACAAAAAATAAAACACATACAAAACATTCTAATTAATAGGAGAAAAATACCACAGGGGTAAGTTAGAATGCAGAATATTTAAAAATTAATTTACATGAGGGAAGAACCTTGTATTAAATATAGCTCAAAAATTTATAATTATGGGGGCGCCTGGGTGGCTCAGTTGGTTAAGTGTCTGCCTTCGGCTCAGGTCATGATCTCAGGGTCCTGAGATCGAGCCCCATGTTGGGCTCTCTGGTCAGTGAGGAGTCTGCTTCTCCATCTCCCTCTGCCTGCCTCCCCCCTGCTCATGCTCTCTCTCTGTCAAATGAATAAATAAAATACTTTAAAAAAATTTTTAAAAAATTTATAATTATGTTGGTACTGAGTAAATTCCACTTGCATTGGAATCATACTAATCACTACAAACAATATGGTGGTCATTACTCAAAACCTCATTTAAAAGACTTTAGATACCTAAATACTGGGACAATCTTACCAACTGGAGGTTTCTCTCTTATAGACTCTAAGAAAAAGCACTATGGAAAACTTGAACTTATATAGAAAAAATGAACTGATGATCCAGAAAGCTTATCAGAATTCTTGGGTATATTTAAATATTGAGCTTCTTAGTTTCCTACAAGTAAAAGTAAAATTTGTTTTTGTTTCAGAAAAGAACTAATCTATAATATTAAATTATTTGGATAAAGGATAACATTCCAAAATACTTTTATAACTATAAAAGAGGGTATCTGCTTGAAAGTGGTAGCTTTGTTTCTAAGACAAACTCCTATACTCTCCTTTATTACAATTATTGTAACTTGGCCGTTCTTCAAACTATACATGGGGTAAGAGAAGAAAAGAACACAGTGATAAAACACCATAAAGCTTTTGGACTTAACTATAGCTTTGTTGATTACATTCTTTTTTTTTTTTTAAGATTTTATTTATTTATTTGACAGAGAGACAGCGAGAGAGGGAACACAAGCAGGGGGAGTGGGAGAGGGAGAAGCAGGCTTCCCGCCGAGCAGGGAGCCTGATGCGGGGCTCGATCCCAGGACCCTGGGATCATGACCTGAGCCGAAGGCAGACGCTTAATGACTGAGCCACCCAGGCGCCCCTCCATTCTTTATTTAGTAAATCTTTTTTTGTACTTTAAAAGCCATGAATACTTTTTTTTTTCTTTTTAGAAAACTTGAAAAATGGAGAGAAAAAGAAGAAAAGTAAATCACTCATGTTCTAAAGACAATAATAAAGTCCAGGTGTGCAGTGGAAGTTGAATTTTTTTTTTATGTTCCCTGTACTTCCCACAGAACAAAAAGGGCAAAATTATCACCTTGGAAACTAAACAAAGAAAAAAGAATGGATGGGAAAGCTTAGGCTGACCAAGAACCACTGTCTTGGAATCTACCCTATCTTTCCACAAATGAGGAAAAAATACAGAGAGGACAGGGTCAGTTGCAGATGTCCTACAGCGAAGGTTATATTTCATTTATAATGTGACCAGGAGTATAGAATACTGCATTACAGTGAGAAGACAATGTAGAACACTTTTTACATTATTTTTTCTTGGTAAAACTTAGCAACACACACTCCCGCTGTACCTTATCATTCACTTTGTGCATGCTTGCCTTGTAAAACCAGATTATGAGCAACAGGAGAAAGGAGTGTGCTTGGTTTGCCTTTTTATTCCCAGTGCCTAGCAAAAAAGGGAGTTCAAAATATGTCTGCAGCATAAATGAACAGAATCTTGGTATCTGTGCATTACATCTAATTTCTGTACTTTATTCACATAACTTCCTCCTCTTGCCCTTGCTGTCTTCACTCTAAAACTTGGCTGGGTAGGAGAGTCTTATTTAGTACCTGAGTTTGCATCTATGATAGCCTTCTGCATTGTTATTCATGGTGATTTCCATTTACAAGATTACTATTACATAAATAGCCAGTAATTAGTGGCAGAGGTAGTGGGTTTGGAGCCGGACAGTGATGGTTTCAAAATCCAGCTGGCAGTATGTGCCTTCTGATAAATTACTTAAAAATCTAAGCTCTGGTTTCCTTACCTGTCAGAGGGGTTAATAAAAACTACCTCACAAAATACAAAGGATAAGATGAGACAACACAGGCGATGCATACAGCTTTATGCCTAGTACATACCAGATATTAATTTCCCTTTCTTCAAAAATTTATTGACATGCATAACATACTCTGTATCTATGTATCTAAGAGAGGGAAAAAGAAATCAAAATTGCATACTCAGAACTTGTTTTTCTTTCAAATTTCAGATTGAGGTTCCAGAAATTCTGGATGAAGGAAAGCAGAAAGCTGTTAGTTCACTAGTTTAGTCCTTCTATGGGCAATAATAACAAGAAGGAAGACTACTGAGGAGTGCAAATGACTCATGTTTTCTTTGATTAACTCATTAGTGATCAAAACAAAAACATAAAATTAAAAAAATTCTTTTAACAAACTGGAAAGTATAAAAAGAGGGTAATGTAATTTATTACCATAATAAATACAGTATATACTAATTCACCACCCTTAATTTCAATTTTTAAAAGCATTGTGTCATGTAACAACTGGCAAAGAAAAGAGATATTACTTTAACATTTAAAGAATTAAATATTCCTGGTAATGAATGACATGTTCCTGGTAAATAATCTTTGATTCTGTAAACCCCAAATATAAAATGGCTTTTATGCCCAAAGTATATCCCATGTTTTCTTGGTTAAGTGTTGTCTGAAAAAAAGCTTTTTGACAGTGTATATGCTTTATAATAGAAAAGTATTCTTTTGCTATAATATATTATTTATCATTTTATATATTTTCTATATTATATATTATTTTTTCTGTAATAGAAAACCATTTTTTCTAGTGGTTTAGGCACTTGAGGTTTCGACATATGACAAGATTAGAATTAATATGATTATAATATTAAATCAAAAGGCTTTAATATGAAATATGCTTATTAAAAATGGAGAAAAATCTATTGCATATACACATATTTAAGTTGTAAAAGGTGTACCAGCTTTTGGGCTTTACTGATAGACTTATTTTAAGTATGTCCTGTGAATGCAGTGTGGTCATTGGATCAATTTTTCTTCTTCCCTGAATAGCTTAAGTATGATTAACTTGAAAATAAACAGTACAAGAGAACAGAATTATAAAAAAACTGTAAGTTTTTTTATAGCTCCAGTAGCTACAACTTAAATATTATTCCAGTAAAAAGAGAGGGAAACTTATAAAGTCCTAATATTCCTAAAGTATAAAGGTGATAAAATCATGTATAATTTAAAAGTTATTTAGAAATTTTAAAGCAGTATATACATTTTTCTTGAAGTATTAGCATTCTAATAGTATTACACAAGACTAGAAATAGAATTGAAATACTAAGCATTCCAATTCAATTTGTGATTTCACTCCCACTCATCTGAAAAATGGAAAATAAATTTTTCTATTTCTAACCTCAATTTCCCTTTTGCTAAATTTCTAAGATTATAATTATGTTTCTTAAATATTTAAAGATCTGAGGATTAAATATATATTTTCTTTACAGTAAAACCTCTCTAATACCCTAAATTTATCCCACTGAACAGTATGAGTTGGGGGTGTCTGGGTGGCTCAGTTGGTTAAGCATCTGACTCCTGATTTTGGTTCAGGTCACGATCTCAGGGTGGTGAGATCGAGCTCCACGTTGGGCTCTGTGCTCAGCATGGAGTCTGCTTGAGCTTCTCTCCCTCTCCTTCTGCCCCTTCCCCAGCTCTCGCACTCTCATTCTCTCCCTCTCTAAAATAAATAAAATCTTAAAAAAAAAAATAGTACGAGTTGATTCAAAATGGTAATAACCCCAAATATAAAAATAATACAGCTCAAAGGAATTTCTAATTAGCATTCATAAAATATACAATTACATACATACACTATGAAGTTGTAAATTATTGGGTATAGAATCACTAAAATGTACTTACTGAGAAATGGTGTTGGTATCTAGGTCAACACAACTAACATCTGGTGGAGGGTCATAGAGATCAAAATATCTTGAATCGATTCCTACTATGAATGGACATGGTGCACTCAAGACATCTGCTAAAGCCAGTGGGCAGAGAGGAACATACGGGCATGGCCAGTGGAAAGGGAAAATCATCTTGGATAAACAAAAGATAGGAAAGTATTCAGGTGTTTGACATTGAAGCATGATTTATCAGCATACACACAAAACTGTCTTTTAAATATTCATACCTAAAGTCTAACATTTGATAACAAATTAAATATTTATAACTAATATTAATGGTCAGAAAATTAGTATTTTTTCACAACATAAAAATTCATTACTCTCTGAATTTTAGCTAAGTCTTAAAGTAGCTTTAAATTAAATGAATAAATTAGGTTTAAAACAAAATTGATTGCCAATAAGAACTCCGATACTCACAGACACTAATGCTTCTGTCACACTAGTAAGCACGGAAGGCCGTAAGGAATGGATGAGAATCTTATGTTCTGTTACTGCAAACACCAGTAGTGTGACAGCATTTTCAGGGCCTAAATTTTGAAGTAGTGTTGAAAACTTGCCACCACTGTCAATCCAAAAAAAAAAAAGAAAAAAATACAATTAAAAAAATTCAAATGCCTCATTATCCAAAATAATGAAAAAACGTCATGATTAGGGTAGGATTATATTATTTATTCAACTTTAAATGTGACTGCTGCCCTTATGTGTGGAAAACACTCATCAGAAACATGTTATGAAAACAATGAAGTTTTCTGAAGTTTCAAAATTATTTGATTTTTCTGCATTGTATTCAATATGAAAAATGAAAAGTCATTTTTCTTTTCAGAAAAAGATCTGCTATGTAGATAATGTCCAAATAAAGAATTCAATCTATAAGAGGGATGCTTTGGTTGAAAGCAAACTTGTTCAATGGAAGTTTGTTTTTTAATTTCTCATCTTTCATGGTAATTATCAGAAAAAATACATGACTTTTGGTCTTCCCTTAAGGTAAATATACATATTAAAATTTGGATTTACAAATAGATTATCTTTAGTAATGTAATGATAATAGTAATATGAAATCAAGAGCTACCAAGTCAAGTGATGGTATATACATACAAAGCAAATTAATAACCCAAACTGAGACATTCTGTGTGGTAACAAAATACTGAAATGATAAAGTAAGTAATGCAGTAAGTCAATCAGTATGTTGTCTTTATAATGCTAAATAATTGGCTTCACCAAATTAACTTTTTTTAAATAAAGCAAACTATTAACAAGTTTTTTGGAGAAATGGAAACATGTTCACAAAAAACTTGTGCATGTTCAGAGCAACATTATTTATTGTAGCCAAAAACTAGAAACAAGCCAAATGTCCATCAACTGATAAATGAATAAATAAAATGTGGTCTATCCATATAATGGAATATTTGTTGGAAACAGAAAGGAATAAAGTAATGATGATACAACACGGATGAACTTTGGACACACTATTATAAGTGAAAGAAGCCAAACCCAAAAGGTCACATATTATATGATTCTATTTATATGAAATATCCAGAATAGGCAAATCTGGGCAAATCTGTAGAGACAGAAAGTAGATTCATGGTTGCCCTGGGCTGGGGAGCGTGTGTGCGTGTGTGTGTTTGTGTGCGTAGAAATAGGAGAAATGGGGAGGGGTGGGGTAACTGCTAAAGGGCACAGGGTTTCTCTTTTAGAGTGATATAAATGGTCTAAAATTGATTACAATGATCTCTCTATATCTCTATATTCACAGAGTGAATATAACCACTGAATTGTACAATTTAACTGGGTGAATTGTACAGCATGTGAATTATATCAATAAAGTTGTTACTGAAAAAAAAAGCCTCTTGGGTAGTTTATGATCATTTTATACATAGTCTCAGTCAGTATTTCTAGTTTATTTTCAGCTCAAACAAAGGTTAAGAAAACACTGGTCACTCTGGACCAAGACCTAGTGATGAAATAATCTGCAATTCTTACAAAATTAATGTCAAAGATGGCAGCTGGTCTCCCTTAGGTATGTGCTACAAAATAACTTAATTATATTGTAACTATTTCTCTGCTAGAAAATTACATAGCTAATTACATTTCAAGAAGTGATACTTTAGAAAAAACATATTTCATAATTTCTCTTAACTTCTAAGTGATGAACTACCTTGTTTTATTCATGGTTAGTATTTAGGAGTATCTTTTTATTTGTGGGTTAAATTTAAAATTAATTGCATTTGAATGCTGTTCAGAGAGTATTTAAAGCTAAAAATAATTGTTTTCATACTCAAACTCTCTCTATATATATACCTACTTATGTAATAGTAAGTACTTGATACACAAAATACCAAACTATTGTAAAGGTTTTTCTTTTTCCTTTAAGTAAAAGGAATTTAGGTAAGAAACAGTTAAATGAGAAGTATTTCCATCAATATTTGAAATTCTACGTAGGAAAGTGAAAGTATTTGAATGTCACTTTAGCTCACACTAGATTTGGAGAAACGTAAGTAGAAATGAACTTTTACTTGCCTTAGTGGAAGAGGTGAAGAAACAGGTTGACTGAGAATCAGATTATCATGTGGTGATAACTGGAAGAAAATTTACAATAAAGTATTTGAAATATAAAGATGAGCTTTAAAACACTACTTTCTGGTAAAAAAAAATATATATATATATAGGCTAATTATGATGTCCATGAGGTTTCAATATATGCATTAACCAGTATAGGAGGGCGCCTGGGTGGCTCAGTTGTTGAGCGACTGCCTTCGGCTCAGGTCATGGTCCCAGGGTCCTGGGATCGAGTCCCATATCGGGCTCTTTGCTCCGTGGGAGGCCTGCTTCTCCCTCTCCCACTCCCCCTTGCTTGTGTTCCCTCTCTCGCTGTCTCTCTGTCTGTCAAATAAATAAATAAAATCTTTAAAAAAAAAAACAAAAAACCAGTATAGGAACTGTTTATATTACTTAGTAAGATCCTGAAAAGCATGTCCTAACCACTGACCTCTTCTAACTACTAACTTCCTACTCTGAATTCTCTTTCCCCTGATGCCACTTTAATAAAATTTTATTGAAAGACTAAATTATTCATTTAATACCACAAAATCAGGGTTAGCAAACCTATGGCCTCCAGGGCAAATCCACAGGCCACCTGTTTTTATAAATAAAGTTTTATTAGAACACTAGCCATGCTCATTCATTTGGTATGATCTATAGCTGTTTTGGCACAATAAGAGCTGAGTAGTTTTGACAGAGATGGCATGGCCTATAAAGACTAAAATATTTACTGTTTGGTCCTCAGCAGAAAAAAAATTGCCAACTTCTGTCACAAAAGAAATCTTTTATGTGTATTCAAACTGAATCTGCTATATATATATATTCTGGCACCAAATACCAAGAAGACATGTGGATAATACAGACCGATTATTAAGATTATAAAAATGGTATTTTTTCTAGATTTTTTATCTGTATCAATATTATAGTGCAATTGTTTTATCTACATACTTAAATTTATGCATATTTCCACAAATTTATAAATACCTATTTGTCAAATACTTCTAAATTTTGAATGATACCCCACCCCCATTAAGGGCTGTGATAAATACAGTAAGGCACATATAGTGATAATACATAAAAATATTTTCTTTATATAAATCACTTTGTAAATGGTGATTAAATAGGCAGACATCTTACAGATCAAGAGCACAAACAAAAAAGAAATGTAAACAAAAGAGAAAAGATACAGTCAATTGGGACAAGATGTAGGGAAAATAATTTATGTTCATTTTGAACTTTCCCGTCACAAAGATATGAACCTTCCCTTCCTGCATAATATATGAAAAAACACACAACTTTTCCTTATATCTATTCTAATACATTTAACTTCGGGAATAAATGCCAAAGGCAAAGACAAACTTTCAAATACTTAGAACAAATTTAGGGGAAAGAAGTCCCTTTTTGTATGTTCAAAATGTCTCCTGCCAACTACTTTAACTCTTCAACCTTTTACCTAAGGGGAAACATTAGATGTCTGCCTGGGAGGCAGTTAATAAAACACTAAGGGCCCAAACTCCAACATGAACTACTATCTGATTCTTTTGACCACATTTGTTCTTTCCCTCCATTTAAAATTGTTATTCTTATGGTACATTTTGACAGAGCCGATAATGATTTAATAGGGCACTTATATCAAGAAAATCATACCTGAACTAAAATCCGTGGTCTCTGAGGAGATGGAAAAGGAACTTTATGCATAAAATGAGAAATATGCCTTAAAAACAAACAGACAAGAACCCAATTGATTCCAAAGTGAATGCCATATACTATAAAGGTCAACATGTCACCACAAGTCCAAGTTGAGTCAAATGCTCTGTGTACTTACAATTTCGAAATCCCTGCTACTACAAAAACAAGTGAACAAATAACACCAGAAATCATTTGTCACATTAAAGTTGCTTCTACCTAAATCCAATAACTTTTCATATTAACACTTCCTCACATTCAACAATGTTTATGCTATCAATGTCTCAAAAGCCATTTTAACTTTTACCTCTCCCTAAGGAGATAATATATAACATGTTATAGGGACAGTACCAAAGAACTTAATTTTTGTTTTGTTCTTCTCACAGAATGTCATTTTTCCTTGGAAGAACAATTGACAAACTAAGGTTATCCAATGTTGCGTAGCCAGCAAGTATCTTCTATATAAAAATGAATAAGGTGACCCTATTGCTTCAAGAAAAATAATTCATAGGGGTGTCTGGCTGGCTCAGTTGGTGGAGAGTGTGACTCTTGATCTCGGGGTTGTGAGTTTGACCCCCACGTTGGGTGTAGAGATTACTCAAAAATAAAATCTTTAAAGAAAAAAAGAAAAAGAAAACTACCTCATAGTATTATTGCCAATAATTAACTTCAATTTTAATTCAATAAACAAATTAAATTTTAAGTGAAAATTAGAATTTTGTCACCATGTATTTGATAACTTCTCAATACTAAAAAAATTTTTCTGATGAAATAGGTGGCGATATTAACAAATGTGTTTTTTTTACACTGATAGTAAAAGTTATCTATGTTAACTCCATGAACTAGTATTTTCCAAACGACCAGTGTATGATGCTACAAAAATCATGTGTGTGTAAAAGTTCCACCTAGAGTGAGGAAAACCAACAGATTTTAATGGAACAGAGAAAGTTCATTACTAAGGTTTTAGATTGCACACTGTGAAAAACCTTTTGTCAAGTTTTGGTGCAGTACCAAAACAGAAAATCCACACAATAATCTGAAAAGGCTTTTCAAATGCTTCCCCTTTTCTACCTAAATACTTGTGTGAAGCCAGGTTTTTTTCATATACTTTCACCCAAACAACATATTGCGATAGACTGAATGCAGAAGTGTGTATGAGAACCTTGATGTGTTCAGTTAGGCCAGACACTAGAGATTTGCAAAAATGTCAGACAATGTCACTCTTCTCACTAATTTTTTTTGAAAAGTTATTTTTCAAAAAAAGATACTTATTAACATGTAATTATTTTAGTATATTATTAAATATTTTCTCCATTTTAATTTCTATTGTAGTAAATATTTAATTTCTATTGTAGTAAAAATTTCTATTGTAGTAAATAGGTATGAGGCAGATAAAACACATGAAGAAAAGCTCTTTGGGGGATCCTCATTTTTTAAGAGTATAAAAGGGTTCTGAGACCAAAAAATCTGCTAACTGCTAGAGTAGAATACTGAGAGGAGAGTAAAAAAAAATACAAGAAAAAATTAGAGTAATATTGTACACTGAATGTTCTTATGATAATTCTATCACTTCCCAAATGTCACGGGGGTCAGAGAATTCTGCTTAAGAATACAAAAGAGTTTGAGTAACAGATGGTATAAAATAAACAACAGTCAAATAGACAACAAAGATATTTAGATCTCACTTGCAACAAATTTTACTGCATAAAACATTACTCAGTTTTGGAGATTTTAAAGTAAATCACTGAGGGGCGCCTGGGGGGCTCAGTCAGTTAAGCGGCTGCCTTCAGCTCAAGTCAGGATCCCAGGGTCCTGGGATTGAGCACCGTATCGGGCTCTCTGTTCAGCGGGGAGCCTGCTTCTCCCTCTCCCTCTGCCTGCTGCTTCCCCTGCTTGTGCTCTCTCACTCTGTCAAATAAATAAATAAAATCTTTAAAAAAAAAAAGTAAATCACTGAAATTTTAAAAAGAATAAAGAATGTGTTTATCTAATTTTTCTTTAAATTCATGATATCTAAAAATAGGGAATATTTTTAAAAGTTCACAATAAACCCAAATTATTTGAAAAATAAGAATTATAAAACTAATTAAAAATTGCCACATAGGATCTCCAAACTTCACAAGAGCTTCAAAAATGAGACATTCATTTCATTTTGTTAAGAGATAAAATCATTTAAAATAACATGACTGTGGGGCACCTGGCTGGCTCAGTCAGAAGAGCACACAACTCTGGATCTCAGGGTCATGAGTTTGAGACCCATATTGGGTGCAGAAATCACTAAATACATAAATAAACTTTAAAACAAAATTAAAGTAACGACTATAAAAGTATAATAGAGAAATACTACCTGATTGAAATAACTAAACTTTTTTTTCAAATAACTCTTAAAAAACCTAGTTTCCATATAATTACAAATATACCACACATAATGGAAAGATCTACCAAATTTTGAGTGAAGGCTTCTCTAACTTACTTCTCAATTGGAAGGACATGAGGTCCAGAGATAGAGTAACGATACAGAAAAGTCAAAAACTTCCTGAATGCATCAAAAAAAGGCCAGTGAGAAAGAAGACAGATGCATTTATTAGTGTGAATTGTTTTGGAATTATCAGATTTCCCATCTGCTGATGATGTTAAACCCAAAAGAAGTCTCTGTTTTTCTGTGAGATTCTCCTCAGAGTATGGTTCATAAAACTGAATAGCAGCACCATAGACCTGGAAAACAAGTAATATATTTAATAAATACACCTTATATCATTTATTCAAATCACATAATTAAATATTTAATGGATGAGCCATTACGAGCTAGATCCTTATGAGCCATTTACATGCCTATGAGCCAGACAAGGTGCCAGGTACCAGGAACACAGCAGTAAGCAAACATCACTGTTGCTTTCTTCAAGTACATTAAAACACACACACACACACACAAAACTACACAGTGCTACTCTCACATCTCATTATTGAAAAAAAAGGTGTTTTTAAAAAAAATTTTTTTTTAAAGATTTTATTTATTTATTTTGACAGAGAGAGAGAGACAGCGAGAGAGGAACACAAGCAGAGGGAGTGGGAGAGGGAGAAGCAGGCTTCCAGCATAGCAGGAAGCCCGATGCGGGGCTCGATCCCAGGACTCTGGGATCATGACCTGAGATGAAGGCAGATGCTTAAAGACTGAGTCACCCAGGTGCCCCTCCCCCCAAAAAACGTGTTTTAATTAAACTGAGTTTGTTTTCTGAAGACTGAAAGCAACTGTATCAATATTCTCTACAAAAAAGTTACTGAAAGGGTGCCTGGGTGGCTCAGTCGTTAAGCGTCTGCCTTCGGCTTGGGTCATGATCCCAGGGTCCTGGGATCGAGCTCCATATCGGGCTCTCTGCTCAGTGGGGAGCCTGCTTCTCCCTCTGCCTGCAGCTCCCCCTGCTTGTGCTCTCCCTCTCTCTGTCAAATAAATAAATAAAATCTTTAAAAAAGAAAAAAAAAGAAGTAACTGAAAATAATTATTTAGTAGAGAGTGGGACAGAATTTTAGATAAGGAAATATATATTCCAGCTTCAGGCAATTCACTAAATTTCTCTGGACCTCAATTTCCCAATCTATAAAATGAGGATGTTAGACTAGATGATTTCCAAGGTCCTTTCCAACTATAATAGTCTATAATTCCAAATAGCTTTGCATATTTAATAATGTCTTTTATATTACTCTCAAAGCTTCTGTATCACAGAAAGTGAAGCAGTAAAGGGATCATCATTTGATGATAAAAAAATCTTTCACCATATTCACAAAAAAGCATTGGGTATATGGGACAGAATGAAAATTCTCTTTTCCTTTATCTCTGTATATAGTTATTTTAATCAAGTGGAAGAAGTATGTATAATAGATTCAATTTAACCAGTTATTTCTACTGTTGCTTACATTATATAAAACTTAAGACTTGATAATATACAAGAAATTTGTTGATACTAGTTAAAACACACAGTACCTTTTCAGCTGAGGCTCCAGTTAACACAAATGTAGAAAATACAGGGAGAGGGTATTTGCTATTTGGTGGCCAGCATTCAATAGTTGCACCCATTGGTAAACAAAATAGGGGAACAGATTCTGGGAGTGAGAAAGATTCATAATCTTCTTGAGGATATCTACAAATTAGACCTATAAAAAACAATAATAAATATTAGGTCATCAGCTCTTGAACTTAGGTGCTCATAATATGAATGATGCTAAAATGCCTTATTATTTAACATATTTAGTAACATTATATTACATATATGTTCATCAAATAACTGAATGCTTCAGTAGGATACATCTAGATTTTAATCCTCAAACATTATAACTATTCATAATAACTAATTAATATTTATCAAGCTTCATCCATGAAGGCTAAGTAAGACAAACAAGAAAAGATTATTCTGAAGAAACATACACAAATACAAACACAATCCTAAAACTTCAGTTTGTGGTCACACTACCTTGAAGCACATGAATATACTAATTTTTTGGAATACTTACCATGGTTACGGCAGCTCCTTTTAAAATCAATCTTCCATTAAGTATCCAATAAATGTAAAAATAAGATAAAACAGAAAAAAAAAAAAGACATGTGTTGTGGTCCCAGTCCTGACACTAAAACATCTTAAGACATGGGTTTTTTCCTTAAATTTTACTGGCCCTCATAATACATATCTATATTAAGTATTCCATGAAAAATTATACTTACCAGCTTTGTAGGATATAGTGTTAGTCTTTGCCACTGATTTTTTATAACATAAGTATACTGCAGATCCCCACTGAATTAAAAAAAAAAAGGAAATATAATTTAATTTTAAAAGGTAGTAACTTAATAAAATGGCATCTCTTTGATATCTCCAGTATATATTATCTAAGATGTAGTAACAGATTTCTGTTAGGTATTTTTAGTTGGTTATTTTACCAGTATTTTATTGCAGTTTTTGCCTACTTTTCTCTCAGAAGTGATATTTAATGTTGCTTTCCCCTTGTAAGAGCAATAATATGACCCTTTATTTTATTTTATTTTTTTTTATAATATGACCCTTTAAAATAACTAAGCCATAACAATTTAGATTTTATGCTAACTCCAAACTTTAGGCAGAAATGATCAAGAAATATCTACTCATGGGTATACCTGCCTTTAGATTCCACAACCTCTTTCCAATATTGCCAGATCTTTCTGCAGCTCTTTATACCAAAACTGAAGAGTTAGAATTTGCTATATCCATTTCCTTGTTTCCCATTCTCTCCCGAATCCATTCCCAATCAGGTGTTAATCCCACCATTCCTTAGAAGAACACTTTAACAACTTTAATGATGCCAAGTCTAACAGTTGTTTCCTAGTCTTCATCTCATTTAACCTCAGCAGATTTGGATACTACTAATGACTCCCTGAAACATGTTCTCATCTTTTGAGGCATCACATTCTCCTGGCACCTCCCCACCAAATCTCTGGCCACTCCTCAGTCTCCTCCTCTCTCTTTTCCTGATCATTGAATGTGATCTCTCCTTTTCTTTCTGTAAATGATCTCATTCATTCAGTCCCATTGTTTTCTATAACAGCTTCTCCCAAAGGAGTCTCAAATTTCTAGTCCCAGCGCAACTGAGATGGGGAAACTGTGGGTAAAGCAGACTGGGGGGTGAAGAAAATGAGTTCACTTTTAGATATGATAGGTTTGAAACATCTATTAGACATCCAAAGTGAAGAATCGAATGGAAATAAGGCAAGAGGTTTGAAATGGAGATGTAACTTGAGAGATTCACTACTTGACATTAGATGGTGACAGATACATGCACACAGCACACTCCCTCACCTCTTTTAGGTCGCAACTCAAAGGACACTTCATTAGAGAGCGCTTCCTTCATCATCTTATGCAATAGCAATCTTCCCTCTACCCTACCCAGTCCCCCTGATCATCCCATCTTGCTTTTTTCTCCTCCATAGCACTTACTACTATGTGGCGTATTGTATATTTTCTTATTTATTATCTGCTTCCCACCACTAGAATATAGGTTTTATGATTGTAAGGGCTTTGTTTTGTTCACTGCTGTATCTGTAGCACCGAGAACAGTGCCTTTATGTAGAAATGCTTAAAAAGTATTTGTTGAATGAATGTGAGAGGATGTATTTGTACACACATGATGGAGTGCCCACACGAGCCAGTGTGTGGGGACCGATTCACAGCACTGAAGACAAATATATAGAGAAAATTAATTTACTTTAAGAAATATTTTTAAAAGATTTTATCTATTTATTTACTTGAGAGAGCACGCATGAGTGCACACAGGGAGGGGCAGAGGGAGAAGGACAGAGGAAATCTGAAGCAGACTCCATGCTGAGCACAGAGCCGGATGCAGGGCTGGATCCCATGACACTGAGATCACAAACCTGAGCAGAAATCAAGAGTTGTATGCTTAACCACCTGAGCCCCCCGGGCGCCCCAAGAAATATTTTTAATTATTAAGAGACTACTATAACAAACACCTATATACTCATCCCTTAGATTTAACAAAGGTTTAATAATTTAACATATTTGCTTCAAATGTTTTAATTCATAAAGAAACAAAAAAATTACAGGTTTAGCCAAAGCCTCATCTTCCATCCCTTTCTGTCCTCCAGAGTTAACTACTAGACTGAAGTTAGTGCATTTCATTCACATGCATTTAAAAACTTTCTACTACATCTATAAGTATATATTATTCTTTTGTGCACTTTTTAATTTAACATAAATGGTGAGATGCTGAATATATGCTTTTATGGCTTGCTTTTTTAAATTCATTAATATGTTTTTGATAATTAGTAAAGTTGATACAGATCTAATTTCTTCATCTGAACTACTGGGTATTATTTCATTAATAAATGAACCACCACAGTTTATTTTAATCATTCCTCTACTGATATAGACACTTGGATTATTTCCTTTTTTGGGGGAGGGGTTATTATGAACAATGATGCAGTATGTTGACTCCTCATCTAGAAATTTTTCTTGCTTTCTTAAACATTTTTCATGTGTCTCCAGCAAAGTAGTATGTTAAATTGTGCTTAGGACATTCAATTATGCTCATTGCTGTGTTGGTATTTTATTTTTATAAATGTTTTAATACTTTTGCATCAAAAGAATGGATGTATAGGGGCGCCTGGGTGGCTTAGTCAGTTGAGTAATTGACTCTTGGTTTTGGCTCAGGTCATGATCTCAGGGTCATGGAATCAAGCCCCATGTCAGGCTCCACGCTCAGCACAGAGTCTGCTTGAGATTCTCTCTCCCTCTCCCCTTACCCCTCTTGTGCACACTCTCTCTCAAATAAATAAATCTTAAAAAAAAAAAAAGGAATGGATGTATATAAAAGTCAAGTGGATATTATGTATGTAGGCAAACTAGACGTTTAGTTTCTGAGGTGTGTACAAATATATAAATAAAAGACCTTCTACTGATAGGCCCCAACTGCAGTTCCTAATAACCAATTTGTAAAGATAACAAAAAACCCTCAGTGATAACCTTTGTGATGATAAGAAGGGAACTACGTGACCATTGGATATGGTAGAAACCAAAACAAATATTCTAAAATAAAAAACAGGGACTTAGAGATAACAGTAAAAGTTATGGAGCTCTGAAGGAAAAGAACCATGGATATCAAAACGAAAAGAGGGTTTTCTGAAGTTTTTTACATACAAGGTTCACTGAAAAAGAAAATAGGAGGAACCATTGTTCTGGAAATACTTTAAATGTTTAACTTATAAATAAAGTACCCATATTGTGGTTTACATGACAAAAACATACTTTCAGATACCTTTTTGGGGGGGGGGGATTAGGTACATGATTTAATTACTTGCTTAGTAATTCTACTTTTTTAAAAAAAGGTTTTATTTATTTATTTGTCAGGTAGAGAGAGAGAGAGAGAGAGCACACAAGCAGGGGGAGCGGCAGGCAGAGGGAGAAGCAGGCTCCCTGGTGAGCAAGGACCCCGATGCAGGACTTGATCGCAAGACCTTGGGATCATGACCTGAGCTGAAGGCACACGGTTAGCTGACTGAGCCACCCAGGCATCCCTATAACTCTATTTTTCTAAATAACCTTGCTAGATCAAATACTGACATTCTTAAAAGGTTGTAAAACAAGAACCATTTGGATAGAGTATAAAAAAAATACTCTCAATGAGTCAAAAACTGAAGAGATGGTCCCAAATTTGCCAAAAAATTAGCTGTGTGAATCAGAGCACCCTTACTAGCATTTTTGAACCACCTGAGTACTTTTAAGTTCTCTTTTGGCTCTAAAATATGCTTCTCCTTTAAATCAAAGTTCAAATCATTTAAGGCTTACAGTCCAAAGTTTAAAAACTAATAATTCTTGAAAACTCTTTCTATAAGCTTAATGAGAGGGTGGGGGAGATTCCTTTTGAGGCCAAAGCTATAAGCCTGGTACAAAAATCATGTAGGAATTTGAGGAAAGATTCAACACACATCTCATGTCCATTAGATTGGTTTTTCTGTTTCCCGGCTTAGAAACCTAGTAAAAGACTTTCATTCAAACTACCTAATCTTCAAAAACAAGAGTCAGCTACATAACTATTGCTGGGTATTATCAACACATCAATAATTTAATCCTAACCACTTCCTGATTCTTTATATATACATTAGACAGACATGAACATAAGTTTCCTATATTGCATGTCTATTTTAAATTTTCTGAAAGAGTAAGAAGTCATTGTACATCTGCTCCAAAGAACTAAATTTGCTTTTACTACCTTATAGTTGATGGAAACAGAGATTGTAAATAGATATAAACCACAACCCACTGCTTAATATTTCTTAGAAGAATTTAGGAGGAGCTTAAACACTGGGCAAAAATAAAAATAAAGAAGTTCTTCCTTGCTGAATGTCAATTATATTTCAATACAACTGAAAAAAAGAAAAGTTCTTCCCCAGACATTAAATACACATAAAAAGGACTGATGAAGCACAGTTAACCAAATGCATAGCTAACATTTATATAGCACTTACTGTGTACCTGACTCTATCCTAAGTTATTTAAAAATATTAATTCAATGGGGGTGCCTGGGTGGCGCAGACTGTTAAGGGTCTGCCCTTGGCTCAGGTCATGACCCCAGGGTCCTGGGGTCGAGCCCCACATCGGGCTCCCTGCTGAGCGGGGAGCCTGCTTCTCCCTCTCCCTCTGCCTGCTGCCCCCCCACTTGTACTCTCTCTCTCTCTCCCCCTGTCAAATTAAAAAAATAATAATAATTCATTGAATCTTCACAAAAAGCCTATGAAATAAAGTACTACTTTATCCCTATTCATGAATGAGGAAACTGAGGCACAAAGAGTCAAGGAACTTGTCTAAAACACATAATCTGTAGTTCAAATCCAGTAGTTTAGATGGAGTCCATTTCTTTTTTTTTTTTTTTTTTTTAAGATTTTATCCATTTATTTGACAGAGAGAGACACAGCGAGAGAGGGAACACAAGCAGGGGGAGTGGGAGAGGGAGAAGCAGGCTTCCTGCGGAGCAGGGAGCCCGATGTGGGGCTCGATCCCAGGACCCCAGGATCACAACCTGAGCCAAAGGCAGACACTTAACGACTGAGCCACCCAGGCGCCCCATAGATGGAGTCCATTTCTGTTCACACTATGTTACATTCTTCTTTCTTCTTTTAGGAGAGAATAAATGCTCTCTGACAATACTGGGACCAATGTTTCAGGATAAGGAAAAACAAACTCCTATCTCTGGTTTCAGTTTCAATGCAGTAACTCTACCTTGAACACCTTGATTAACTAATAAAACCTAGAAATGGTTCTGATGACACTGTCAATTTACTTTGAATCAAAACCAACACATCCACAAAATAAATGGAAAATTCACTAATGGGAAAATGGGAAGTACCTGTGAGCCTGCACAATCTTGCTAAAATACCAAACCAAATCTAAAATGATATTAAGCTGGACATCACATCATGGAAGTTCAAAAACCTTTCTTGCCATCACTCTCGGTACCACATAAGGCCTGTAAACTCTTGTTTGCTACCATGATCTTTTTTCTCCAGCATAATCTCTGCAACTATCACCTGTCATCACCAAGCCAAAATAATATGTAAGGATGCCATGAAAGGATGGGGCATTTTATATATGAATGGCTGTTGACAAAAAAATGGTCATCTAATTAGGTGTCGCATTGCTGCAGATAATTTGTTTAGGATACAAGTTAGATACTGTCAAATATCCATTTTTTGAACTACCTAGTTAAAGATTTTATTTTTTTTTTAAGATTTTATTTATTTATTTGAGAGAGAGCGAGAGCGAGTGCTCAAGTGGGGTGATGGGCAGAGAGAGAAGCAGACTCCCTGCTGAGCAGGGAGTCCAATGTGGGGCTCAATCCCAGGACTCTGGGATCACAACCTGAGCAGAAGGCAGACACTTAACCGACTGAGCCACCCAGGCGCCCCCCTATTTGAAGATTTTAAACAAATACTGCTACTACTTAAAGTTGCAGATTTTTCTTAAAGAAAATCTGGGATTGGAAGATGCTTATAGGTAACAAGCTAACACACATACAGTACTTTTATATATGTACTGGAACACAGTTCTAAATTCATTTAATCATCACGATACCTTATGAGTTAGATGCTACTATCATCCTCATTTTACAATCGTAAAATTGATGCATAGAGAGACTAAGTCACTTGCCCAAGGTCACAGGTCACAGAGCCAGTAAGTGTCAGAATTAGGATTCATATCCAGACACTCTGGCTCCAGAGTCTGTACTCTGACCCACTGGGCTACACTGACCTTAACCACTACAACACAAATCTATTTTACTATCTTACTGAGGGAGTTCAAAACTTTTTCATGGTCTCAAAATCTGCACTGTATCCAGCCACATATCAATACACTTCAGTTCTTCCTCTTCTTGCTTTATCTAAACCTTCAGTGTTTCTCATGTTGCTAGCTTAACAGAAGAGAAAATAAATAATAATTTAAAAAATCAGCTTCCCATAAAAATTTAATAAATGAGATGTGTATAAAATCTTTTAAGTATTCATTTACATAGTTATAACAGGACAACGTACATGTCTGCTCTAGGATCTTTAAGAAATTAAGTTTGAAAATTTGTGATTAAAAATCCAACTATTGACAGTTATTTTAAAAAAAAAACTAAAACCTTTATATTTTGTTGGTAGGATATAAATTGGTTAAACTTTTGGGGATAAAAATGTTAAAAGTAAAGCTTTGATCTACAAATTCCAGGATATAAGGAAATAATCTAGCAATTCAGTATAGTGTTTTGGAGTTTGGTTCTAGAGTTCTTAGTTTGGGTTTGAATCTTGGTATGAATCTTGGGTTTATTGAAGGTATGACCTTGGGCAAGTAACAGCCTTTTTAACTCTCAAATTTCCTTCTCTGTAAAATGGAGGTGGGGGGTTGGGGGGTAGGGTGGGAAACACCATTCAGGGTGGTTGTATTAACTGGGTTAATGGATATGAAATACTCAGAATAGCGTATAGCACATAAGAGCTCAATAAATGTAAATTATTCTATAGAAAATTTAATTGTGACTATGTTCATAACAGTTTCGCTTATAATATAAAAAATTATATCTAAATGTCTCACAATAAAAGTTGGAACAAATAAATTGTGGCAACATCCATTTAATTCAGTAGTATTCAGTCATTCGATACTGTTGTTATATATTAGAAGATGCTCAACCTCCACAATAATAAACAGGACCAGGGTTGTGGCAATGGAGAGGGTGAGTAGTGGTCAAGTTTAAGATATATTTTGAAATTAGAGTCAACAGAATTTACAAAAGAAAAGGAGAAGAGAAAGGTTAAGGATTACTGCAAGGTTTTTAGTCTGAGTAACTAGAAGAGTGGAATTTCCATTTGCTAGATGAGCAGGACTATGGGCTAAACAGGTTGGGAGAGGCACACAAGGAGTTGAGTTTTAGACATGTTAAATTTTGAGATGATTTATTCGATAAGATGTCCAAAAAGCGATGAATTACAGAGGTCCAAGCTAGACACACAAATTTAGAAGCCAAACACAGATAACCTGTATTTAAATGATTAAATCATCAAGGGATTGAGTTTAGATGATAAAGATAAATGGTCTGAGGACTGAGCCCTGGGGCACTGCATTGTGTAGTGGTTAGGGATTAGCAAAGGCAGAAGGGGGATGGGGTAACGTAGGAGGAAAAAGTAAGAGAATACATCTTATCTTCCTGCCATGGTTTCAAGAAGGAAGAAGTGATAGCTGTGTCAAAACCTACTGAAAATTTACAAATTAAAACCACTGGATTCAACAAGAACAATCTTGGTGGCATGATAGAAACAAAAGCCTAACTAGAGAGTCAAAATGAGGAAGAGGACAGAATATAGTCCCCTCTTCTGAGATGTTTTATTGTAAAGGAGAGCAATGAAATGAGGTAAAGAATGGAGGTAGACATAGGGGTCAAGAAGTTTTGTAAAGATGGGCAATATTGCAACATGCTTTGCATGCTGGAGGAAATAATCCGATAGAGAAAGATTGATGGTTCCCAAAAAAGTAGGAAGAATTGCTGAAGCCATGTCCTCAAATAGGTAAGTATATAGCATCTAGTGCACAAGTAAAAGGGATTACCCTTGGCTAGTGTGTTACTTTTCCAGTAAGGAAAAAAATATGCTTTTAATTAAAAAGCAAGCAAGGAAACTTTTTGTACAGCTCCTTTTGAAAGTACAATTGAAAGTACGACTAAAGTACTTTCCCAAAGATAAAATATCTAACATCTTTAAAAACATATTTTTAGGGGGCGCCTGGCTGGCTCAGTCAGTTAAGCATCTGCCTTCGGCTCAGGTCATGATCTCAGGGTCTTGGGATCAAGCCCTGCGTCTGGCTCCTTGCTCAGTGGGGAGTTTCCTTCTCCCTCTCCCTCTGCCCCGCCCCCCCTCCCATGCTCTCTCTCAATAAAATATGAAAAAAACCCCGACAACATATTTTTTAATTCAGTTATTATGTTACACTGTTTTTCAGAGATTTTAAATTATGCTCTTCTCATCAGTGGCTTATTTTATCAGTACAAAAGAGTCACTTACCATACTGTTATTGAGATTCTTGTCGACTTTGCAAAATGTGTGTGGTGGACTTTCTCCTTTACTGGGTACAATAATACATATGTCTGTGACAGCCAATGTATTCTGAGTCATGTTTTCAGAGGCTCTTCGGAAAGTGATATAAATTTTTTGTGATGAGGTACTACCACTAATATTTGCAGGGCGTCCGTAGGGAGTACTCTGAATAATTTCACATCCCTGTTTCAATCTTTCTTTCCAGTCATACAAAACCCTAAAAGAAAAATGCATAAATAACTACACAAATGCAAAACATCTTCAAACAGGATAGGTAATACTGTCAGGTATCATAAACTGATCCTTAAATGTAGCAGATATTCCAATCTTACTGCAAGTTTGAATTGCACAGTCCCATATAAAACTAAAGGAGAGTGGCTTCCCCACCAAAAACTAAAATAATGTAAGGAAAATTCAGATTATCTTTCGTGTTTGTTGGCATAAACCACATACTGGCAACGAGTAAGTGCAGAGGCACTTGCTTTAGCATTCCATTTAATGATTCATTTATTTATTTTTGTCTCTAAAACCAAGCATCTTCTTTAGAAAAAGCAATTTTATAATTTAGCCAAAGTTAAAATTTTACAAAAGCCTCCTTGCCAAATATTATAGAACCTGCCTGCACACTTTCACCTCCAATGCTCTCTCAAATTTAAGAGACAGCTATAGGTTTTCAAAAGAGAAAATAACCTCAAATCCATCTGTAAGCAAAAGGATGGGTGAAAGACATAGGCTTTTTTTTCTTCTTCTTTTTCTTTATTGTGGTAAAATGGCAGGCTTTTATTAATGGTCAGTCCAGCCATCCATTCATTAAATCTGCTAAGAAGTACATTCACATACAAGGAAAACATCATACTGGAATAATATTAGTCTATTCCCTCAGAGAATTCACTGATTTGTATTTTACTGCTAACTCCCTGGCATGAGGAAAAAAAAAACTTTAGAGCTCTACTATATTAAGTGTGTTTCTGCATTTGCTATAAAAATTGTTATAACAGGCAATATCCTCAATATCAGTATTTCCTTTTATAAAATCCCATTATTCAAATAAAATTAAGTGCCAAAAATTGGTAAAATTATTTTTTCTAATATAATTTTTAATTCCCCTTTTTGTCATGCTGTCAGCAAACTTAAATTTTTCTTTCAACATTTTATTTTGAAAATTTAGGGCTAAATTTTATGCTTGATCATAGCAACTATATTTATCCTAATGTTAACTTAAATGCTTACTCCTCCTCCTCTTTTTTTTTTAATTTATTTATTCATGAAAGTCAGAGAGAGAGAGAGAGGCAGAGGAAGAGGGAGAAGCAGGCTCCCCGCCTAGCAGGGAGCCCGATGCGGGACTCGATCCCAGAACCCTGGGATCATGACCTGAGCCAAAGGCAGACGCTTAACCATCTGAGCCACCCAGGCGCCCCACTCCTCCTCCTCTTTTTGATCTTGCTTTCATTTTTTTTTTTTTAATCTTTAAAAAAAGGCACTGTAACAGAGAGAAGTTAGACACATCTCAATTCAAATTTCTACTACCTGTTACTAGCTGTATTCTCTTAGGCAAATATTTAATCTCTCTGAGCCTTGTACTAATCAGCTATAACATTTAAAAATCTAGGGGTGCCTGGGTAGCTCAGCCGGTTAAGCGTCCTCAGGTCATGATCGCAGGGTCCTGGGATCAAGCCCCATGTCAGGCTCCCTACTCAGCAGGGAGTCTGCTTCCCCCCTCTCCCTCCACCCCTTCTCCTGCTTGTGCTCTCTCTCGCTGTCAAATAAATAAATAAAATCTTAAAAACAAATTTAAAAATCTAACCCACAGGATCTTGAGAGAATTAGATGAGAGTATAAATAAGGCCTCTAAAATAGTGCCTGGAAAACAGACAATTGAAAACAAGAAAACAAAAATACAACACAAAACAATAACAAACCACCATTTATTACCTTGAATTTCTTAAAGATATGGAATATAAATACATTTGAAACATAAGATACCTGTTTTCTTTAATCAGGTATTATCCTGTTACATATATTACTTGTGTTATTATTTTTTATTTTTATATTGTTAGGAACTTTTCTTGTCTAACTAAACTAAGCTTTTCAAAGGCTCTTAAAAATGTTGCCCTATCCTCCACAATGACAGAAAAGGGGGATATTTATAAGAGTGGTGAATTTATTTATTCCAGTTTAAGCCCTTAACTATTGGAAAATCCTTCCTATACTTGGAAAATTCCTCATCTCTAAATTAGGAAATTCCAACATCCTAACAAAAATCTGCAACATTCCCTTCATTTCATCCACAATCTACAATTCTGAGGATGATCAGTGGTCACAGGAGCAAATTACCTAATCTTTTGAAAAGAAGATCTATAAGAGACACTTAACTATAGACAACAAACTAAGGGTTGCTGGAGGGTAGGTGTGCACGGGATGGGCAAGGCGGATGATGGGTATTAAGGAGGGCACTTGTTGGGATGAGCACTGGGTGTTATATATAAGTGATTAATCATTAAATTCTATTCCTGAAACCAATATTACACTACAGTCAACTAACTAGAATTTAAATAAAAACTTGAGGGTTGCCTGGGGGCGCTCAGTCGGTTAAGCATCCAACTCTTGACTTTGGCTCAGGCCATGATCTCAGGGTCCTGGGTTCAAGCCCCATGTCAGGCTCCCCATTCAGGGGGGAGTCTGCTTGTCTCCTCTCTCTGCTCTCTCTCTCTGTGTCTCTCTCTTTCAAATAAATAAATAAATCTGTAATAAAGAAATAAAAACTTGAAACAAACAAACAAAAGACCTAACAGCTGGCTTATTTTCCCAAGCCATTTACTAAATACATTAAGCTTTATAAGAAGCACTATAAGAGGGCGCCTGGGTGGCTCAGTCGTTAAGCGTCTGCCTTCGGCTCAGGTCATGATCCCAGGATCCTGGGATCGAGTCCCGCATTGGGGGGGTCCTTGCTCAGTGGGGAGCCTACTTCTCCTTCTGCCTGCCGCTCTGCCTGCTTGTGCTCTCTCTCTCTGACAAGTAAATAAATAAAAATCTAAAAAAAAAAAAAAGAAGTAATATAGTAGCTGTCCCAAAACCAACTTAAAATTACTAGAATTCCTTCATGAAGAGAATAAAAATTGATTTTTGATACCAAACATTAGATGATAGAATTTTTAAAGTAGAAGAGATTTGAGGAAGTTTTCCAATTCATTCTGTCTCCCCTCAGGCATTAGTAAATATGACTGTCCGCTTTCAGACTTAATATAATAGGAGATGGAAATTTAAAGCCCCTTCTGGTGACATCAGTAGGGATATTGATATCTTCTTTATTTTTAACTCAAACATTCCAAGTTAAGTGCATGCTCTTTTGCAACTGAGCAATGAAAACAAGAAGGCTAATCTTTATTTCTTATAAACTCTTTATCTATTTTGAAGACATTAATATTAGAGCTACTTGTAGCTTTCCTTAGGCCTTCTTCTTTGTTTTTCAGTGGGAATCTTATTTTTCTACCTTTAAAATATTGTTCCTCTTTTGCTCCATATATATATATATTTACATCTATATATTCTTTTTACATATATAATATATATTATATAATGTATATATAATGTCAATTTCTGCAAAGATTGGGGTTCTTTTTAAAAGATGAATATATATTTTATATATATGTAAGAGAGAAATACATGAATGTAAAGATACATATATGTAAAGGAGAAATATGTAAATGTAAAGATAAATACATATACATATATATATTCATATTAAAAAGAACCCCGATCTTTGCAAAAATTGACAAGCTGAGTATCCAAAATCCATAAAGAACTTATCAAACTCAACACCCAAAAAACAAATAATCCAGTCAAGAAATGGACAGAAGACATGAATAGACACTTTTCCAAAGAAGACATCCAGATGGCCAACAGACACATGAAAAGATGCTCAACATCACTCGGCATCAGAAAAATACAAATCAAAACCACAGTGAGATACCATCTCACACCAGTCAGAATGGCTAAAATTAACAAGTCAGGAAACAATAGATGTTGGTAAGCTTATGGAGAAAGGGGAACCCTCTTATACTGCTGGTGGGAATGCAAGCTGGTACAGCCACTCTGGAAAATGGTATGAAGGTTCCTCAAAAAGTTAAAAATAGAACTACCCTATGACCCAGCAATTGCACTACTAGGTTTTACCCTAAAGGATACAAACATAGTGATCCGAAGGGGCACCTGCACCCCAATGTTTATAGCAGCAGTTTCCACAATAGCCAAAATATGGAAAGAGCCAGTTGTCTATTGACAGATGAATAAAGAAGATGTGATACACACACACACACACACACACACACACACAAAATGGAATATTACTCAGCCATCAAAAAATTGAAATCTTACCATTTGCAATGATGTGGATAGAACTAGAGGGTATTATGCTAAGAGAAATAAGTCAATCAGAGAAAGACAATTATATGATTTCACTCATATGTGGAATTTAAGAAACAAAACAGAGGATCATACGGGAAGGGAGGGAAAAATAAAATAAGACGAAATCAGAGAGGGAGACAAACCATAAGAGACTCTTAACTGTAGCTATGAAACAAACTGAGGGTTGCTGGAGGAGAGGTGGGTGGGAGGACGGGGTAACTGGGTGATGGGCATTAAGGAGGACACTTGATCTAACGAGCACTGGGTGTGACATGCAACTGATGAATCACTAAACTCTACCTCTGAAACTAATAATATACTATATGTTAATTGAATTTAAATTACAAAAAAAATCTGATAGGCAATCAAAAAAAAAATTGACGAGCTGATCCTAAAATTTATACAGAAATTCAAGGGACCCAGACAGAATAGTCAAAATGATCGTCAAAATGATCAAAGCTGGAAGACTCACACTTCCAGTGTAAAAACTTACTACAAAACTATAGTAATCAAAACTGTGGGGACACCTGGGTGGCTCAGTTGGTTAAGCATCTGCCTTAGGCTCAGGTCATGATCCCAGGGTCCTGGGATGGAGTCCCACATCGGGCTCCCTGCTCAGTGGGAAGCCTGCTTCTCCCTCTGCCTCTGCCTGCCGCTCCCTCTGCTTGTGCTCACTCTCTCTCTGACAAATAAATAAAATCTTAAAAAAAAAAATTAAAAAAAAAAAAAACTGTGTAGTACTGGCACAAAGATAAGACATGTAGACAAATAAAACAGAATTCAGAGTCCAGAAATAAACCCATACATCTATGGCCTATTAATATTTGAAAATGGGGAAAGAATATTCTCCTCAACAGATGGTGCTAGGACAACTGGATATCCATAAGCAAAACAGTGAGGCTGGACCCCTTCCTCAACCATATACAAAAATGAATTCAAAATAGATCAAAGACCTAAATACAAAGGCTGAATCTATAAAACTCTTACACAAAAACTTAGGTGTAAATCCCCATGACCTTGGATTAGTAAAAGCCTTCTTAGATCTGATGCCAAAACACAAGCAACAAAAGAAAAAAATAGATCAGACTTCATCAAAATTAAAAACTTTTTAGCTTCGAAGGATACCATAAAGAAAATGAAAAGACAACCCACAGGATGGGAGAAAACATTTGTGAATCATATATCTGATAAGGGACTTGCATCTAAAATATGTAAAGAACTATTAAAGTTCAACAATAAAAAGACAAGCCAATTAAAAAATGGGTAAAGGATTCTGTATAGACATTTCTCAAAAGATTTATAGATCGCCCACAAGTACATCAAAAGATGTTCAACATCATTAACCATCAAGTGAATGCAAATTAGGATCACAATGAGTTACCACTAGGGAAGCTATAATCAAAATGACAATACAAAATGTTGGCTAGGATGTGGAGAAATTGGAACCTTCATACACTGCCGGCAGGAATGCAAAGTAGTGTGGCTACTTTGGAAGACAGTCTGGCAGTTCCTCAAAAGATTAAACACAGAGTTATCATATGACCCAGCAATTGTACTCCTAAGTATATATACAAGAGAATTGAAAACATATGTCCATAAAAAAAATTTATATATCATTATTTCCAGCAGTGTTATTCATAGTGGCCAAAAGTAGAAACAACCTACATGTCCATCAAACTGATGAATCAATAAATAAATTGTGAAAATAAATAAATAAATAGGGGTACATCCATAAAATGGAATATTATTCAGCCATGTAAAGGAATAAAGTACTGACACATACTACAACATGAATAAACCTGGAAAACATAATGCTAAGTGAAAGAAGCCGGTACAAAAAGTATTCTTTTTTTGCCTTAGAGTATGATTCTATTTACATAAAATGTCCAGAATAGGCAAATCCATAGAGACAGAAAATAGAATAAGCATTGCCTAGAGCTAAGGGGGTTAGGCAGAATTGGATAGAAACTAAAATGAGTATGAGGTTTCTTTCTGGCATAATAAAAATGTTCTAAAATTTATTGTGGTTATGGTTGCACAATTCTGTAAGGACACTAAAAACCACCAGATTGTACACTTTATTTATTTTTTTAAAGATTTTATTTATTCATTTGAGACACAGAGATACAGAGAGAGAGAGAGAGCATGAGCAGGGAGAGAAGCAGAGGGAGAGGGAGAAGCAGGCTTCCCGCTGAGCAGGGAGCCCGATGCAGGGCTCGATCCCAGGACGCTGGGATCATGACCTGAGCTGAAGGCAGACGCTTAACCATCTGAGCCACCCAGGCGCCCGCAGATTGTACACTTTAAATAGGTGAACTGTATGGTATGTGAATTCTATCTCAACAAAGCTGTTATAGAAAAAAGGAGCCCTAAGTTCAGTATAATATCCTAAGTAAAGGATTTTACCCCAAGATCCTTGTTTGATGCATACAGCCTTAAGCATCTATCTACAATGATATAAGACTGATGCTCAAAAGTCATCCTTTTCTAGCACTTAATTTTAAAATGATAAAAATTCTTGTGGTCAGGACAATACCCTAGTTTTCTGGTACTTTCCTGTAGAAGTTTTCAAAGTTTCTCCCCTTAACAGAAAGAAACTCTGACAAGAAGAAAGTGCTGGGCACCTGTAGGACAAAGGGATAATCAAATGGTATAAGGAACACAGAAAGAGAACACAGGATTCTAAACATGTGTCTATTTTTCTAAAGCTGACATGTATTTATTAATGAACAAATTGAACAGTGAACTTCAAAATCTATAAGGCATATTATTTTGATCAATAGCGACAATTAAGAAAAAAAAACAACTTACCCTAGATCTGTAAGTGGAGGCTTATCTCTTCCTCTTCTGTAGCAAAGGTAAATCTGCGGCCCCACAAGACTTCCATTATTGAGATCAGCCGACAATCCAGTTGGGGTAACATCAATACATATATAATCCCGTGGCACTTCCTCCCCAAGAGATTTAATAATCACTGAAACATCTGTTATAGGTTCTTTTGGTTTAGCTACTTTATGACAGGCATCATTGAAGTGAATTTCTTCTTCAAGAGGCTTTGAAACATCAGTTAATCCTGCTACAACAAAGTAGTCAGCAACACGAGGCCCCTTATCTTCAATCATCTTCCATTACAGAAGGTTACATCTAAAAGGAAAGTGAAAGACTAGTAGTATAATAAGTCAAATAAATAGATAAGTCAAATAAATAGAAGTGGTTTGTGCATAAATAAGAATGAAAAACTATAGAAAGAACACTACTTCTCTGATAAACATAGTACTATTACACATTTCATTTTAATATGTAAAATGTATGGCTTTTTTTTTAAATGGGATTATATTTAGCATCATTTTCTGAATATAAAAGTAATGCATGAATTTCAATTTTTTACAACATGGAAGCCTGGATTACCTAAGTACATGACAAAAACAACAACAAAACACATCCTTGTAAATGCACAGACTAACCTGTGAAAATGAAATTCCCAGGGTCCCAAAACACCGAAGAAACCAAAGACCAGAGTGCAGTGTATAAGCTGATAATGGGTTGGGGAAGTTTGCTGATCTCCTCAGTAATCAAGGGGTTTGTGTGTGTGGTTTTTTTTTTAAGATTTTATTTATTTATTTGATAGAGCAAGAGAGCACAAGCAGGGGGAGAGGCAAAGGGAGAGGGAGAAGCAGGCTCCGCGCTGAGCAGGGAGCCGATGCAGGACTTGATCCCAGGACCCTGGGATCATGACCTGAGCTGAAGGCAGACGTTTCACAGACTGAGCCACCCAGGCGCCCTGGGGTTTGTGTTTTAAAAGGCATTACAGGGACAGGAGACAAGGCTTTGGGACCACATAAGATAGGGAATTAGAACTGAGACATCTGTATAGAACCAAGAGCCTCAAAGGACTATAGCCCCAGTTAAAGAGCGGATTTTAAAAATCCATCCACTGGTACAGGGAGATAATAGTTTGCCTCAATCTGGGCCCAGCTTTGGTGGGGTAAAAAGTCTCCCCTGTGAATGTATAACAACAGGCCTACTCATACTTGGATATGAGGTTTGACCTTAAGCCATCTGCATAGTCCCAAGAAGCTCCAAACAGGTATTAACAATAACTGTGTTCCCAGGCTAGTGATACCCTGGGGGAAGCAAATATAGAACAGTTCTAGAAGGGAACACCCTCAACCCAGGTTCTCCACAGATAAAGCCCAGCTGAAGATGACCTCCTATAAAAACATACAAAGAAAAACCCACCCTGAGTGAGTCTCAGCAGATACAACAAACAGAGGAACTTCAAATAACAAAAGTAGGGCAGAGATTAGAACAGTAATGCATGCTTATAACAAATTCAAAGAAAAAATACACAAAGTAGAATCCCATTATGTATCTGCAAACACTTTAATAGCAAAATCTCCTTCAGGTGTCATTTCAACCTTATTTGTTTAACGAGGAGAATACACCCTCCACAGTACTGTCATTGCTTATATAACAGTTATAGGAAAAAAGTTTAATATTAAAACAGATATTTTCCAACATGTCTCGTTAAATTTAGTTCCAATAAATGCAAAAAAGGACAAATTAGGCATATATACTACATGCCTTTTTCGTATATGTGTAATAAAATATATAAAAATATGAAAGCCTCAGCAGTCCTTTGATAAAGGTACCTGTTAACTTTGCTTGTTAGCCCAGGATTTCCGAAGTCTATTTGAACAATGAACCCTATTTTCCCACTTAAAAACTAGAAAAAAACCCTCAAAACGAGCTTTAGAAAACGCCAGTTTAAAGTAAATAACCTTTGGGACACCTAGGTGGCTCAGTCAGTTATGCGTCTGCCTTCGGCTCGGGTCATGATCCTGGGGTCCTGGGATGGAGTCCCACATCGGGCTCCTTGCTCAGCAAGGAGCCTGCTTCCCCCTCTGCCTGCAGCTCCCCCTGCTTGTGCTTTCTCTCTCTCTCTCTAATAAATAAAAAAAAAATCTTTAAAAAAAAATAAACTTTGTAGACTATAAAGTAACTGAGGGCAAACAAATTTTTATGGAGTATACTTGTTTATAATACAATTATCACCATTTTCATCATAATCCCAAACTTATCGAATTTTCTTTATTGCTAACATAGTAAGTTTTCAGAATTCAAGCCACATTTTGTGCAATCTGTATCCATTGCTTAAATATACTCTAAATATTCCCAGTTTGTTTAGAAAACAAACCTAAAGAAGGATCAAATGTTCCTACTTCTTTTATATGTATATGACTTCTTTTATATGTATATGACTCCAATTAGCAACTGCCTTACACATAAGATTTCTGCACAAAATCAAGGGCTTAAACTTTTCAGAAATGGCCCCTAGCCTGACAGTAAAGAGAAAGTAATAAGCTGTCTCTTGAGAAGACTGTTAAATAGTCTTCTCTCTCAGCTGACTACATGTAACAGGTAGGTACTCCACAAAAAATAAGTAGTTTCACCCTATCCATTTCTAAAAAGTAGGAGAACAAAAGCACCTTTTTTATTTATTTTATTTTTTATTATTTTTTTAAAGCACCTTTTTTTTTTTTAAAGATTTTATTTATTCATTCGAGACACAGAGATACAGAGAGAGCGAGAGCATGAGCAGACGGAGAGGCAGAGGGAGAGGGAGAAGCAGGCTCCCCGTCGAGCCAGGAGCCAGACGTGGGACTTGATCCCAGGACCCTGGGATCATGACCTGAGCTGAAGGCAGACGCCCAACCATCTGAGCCACCCAGGCGCCCCTAAAGCACCTTTTTTAAAAGCACTTTTGTATTTAACTTTTTTTCTTCATTTCATTACATAGTCTTTGAAAATATTTCTTAATGGCTCCATAGTATTTTGTTTTATGGACATAACATTATTGATCTATTTCCTTATTGTTGATCATTTTTACTTCTACTTTGCTAATATTTTTAAATGCCATGATGAATAATCTTGAACATAAACCTATGGCTATTATTTCTTCAGAAAAAATTTATTAAAGTAGAATTGCTAAGTCAAAAGTTAACCAAGCTTCTACATGTTTATTTGCTTTTATGTGTGCATGAATTTGAAGCTATAAGCTCTTGATAGATACAAATCTTAAAAATACCTTGGTAAAACACTTTCCTTTCATTATAATAAAGACATTTAAATATTCTCCTTTTTCCTAGACCCTAACTTCATGTTATTTAGGTTTATTTATTTATTTTTTAAGTAATAATTATTAAATAATTACAGCCAATGTGGGGCTTGAACTCACAACTCCCAGATCAAGAGTCGCATACTCTTCCAACTGAGCTAGTCAAGTGCCCCACTAACTTCATGTTATTTAAACTACAGCATACAGTCACTATCACATACTATGTAGTTTTACGTATTGCTCTGCAGAAAGAAGGGAAAGAGAATGAGAACAGTACTATCATGAAAACATACATATATTTAATAAATTCTTTTGAAAGTTACTACCTTAGCCAGCTAGTTGGAAATAAACAGCTATTATACTAATAAGTAGATATTTGGGAGAAATTTGTATGAAAAATTCATTTTGTTACATCTTCCTGATTCACAGATTTTAATGATTTGATCTCATTCACAACTGACTACAGTAAATAACTAATAAAGGAGAACAAATTATTATTCCTCATCAATACATAGAAGAAAATAATCAATTTTAAAGTGGTGATAAAATCTTCTTACATTTATTGACAAAAAAAATAAATTACATATCACTCCAGTTCTCTTGCCTTGGTGTTGTTTTCCATTTACTCATTTCAGGGCGGAGAGTGGTTAGGAAGATAAACAAAATGTTTTAAGGCACTGCTGACCAAATATGTAATGCCAAGAACATAGTTGGCAACATTCCAGGTGACTTCTTGCAATATCTAAATGGCCTTTAATTCACTCAGAAAATACTGAAAATGCACCTCTACTTTTTATTTTAATTCAACTGTTTTTAAAATAAGTTTGAGGTTTAGAAGCTAGGGGGGAGACATTGTTAAAAATTACAAGGCAAAGAAAATACTGAAAATCTTTACTATAGAAAAGAACAACAGTATTTTCTAACAATTCCATTTAGCCAAGAGACTTATACTGGAGTGTGAAAATTATAATCCTCGTGAAAAATACTACATGTATATTAAGAGAAAATGCCTTGTGTTGGCAAGAACCACCAACGATTCCTTGGAAAGAGCATTTGAGGAAAGCATTCCTCGTCACACACAAAACTTGGACTTTTAGTGTAGTACATGAGAGCAAAAACCCCTAAACAATTAGGAGGTACATAGGTAAATTTCCTTTTTTTTTTTTTTTTGGATGTAAATTTGACTTCATTTAAACTGGGGGCCGTACAAAACAAGCAGTCAATCCAACAGTTCTGCAAATAATCACAGTAATATAAAACCCTGACACAACTTTACTCAAGCTGGTGTAACGATAATACTGCATCACTAACCAACCACTGTTTTTTAATTCTTCTTTGTTCAATATGATTTAGATAACTTAAGGAATTAGCTTATAAAATGTTTTTAGGCATCTTCTTAAAATTTCAGATACCTCTTTAGCTAGTATTTCACTTCAAATTACATCTATTTTCTTTGAGAACAGAACACAAGAAGGATATGCTCTGTAGTCCTAAAAGGTTTATGAGAACTAAATTAAGAAATCGTTATAAGAAAGCTCTTTTATTCACGAACTAATGGAGGCTGGTTTGTTTTTCTCCCTTTCAATATCTACCCAATCAATTCAGATTCTTTTGTATTTCTTCTATCACTCCATTAGGTCAAAGTAGTTAAGCATTTTCTACCTAGGCTAACTCTAAGGACAAGAAAAGACAAGAGTGGAAAGGTAACATTTTAAAGATATATGAAAAACAAAAAATCTGAGCATAGAAGTTTTGCAAAATTATAAACTATTACTGAAATGGTAAAAGGATAAAAAGTCTTTCAAATAGAGAATGATAATAGTCACAAACTCAAGATATTAAGTTTATAATCGATAAAATGGTCAATATGTTAAAATGGTCAATAACACAATGGACTAATTCGACTATCCTTCACTCCAGTTCACTTAAATAAATAGGCTAGAAGAAATTTTCTTTTTTTAAAAAGTAATTCCACAGTTAAGAATGTAATCTAGCCATCTTTTCTTACATTATTAAAACTAAACCAGAGACCCTCATTTCTCATCTTTTCTAAACTTCATCTTTCATTTTTCTTCCAACCAAGGTAACCTATCTACTATCCTACAAATTTAGTTTTTGTTCTCTTCCTCTTTGACAAAACACTATTTCCTCTTTCTGGTCAATACACATTCATCATATTTGTTTTAAAACTTAAGTTTATTTGCATTTTCATTTAATCTTTATGAATTGTACAAAATAATAAAAAGGAAGACAAATTCCATTCCATTCCCAATAATAAATCTGGTTTATATTTAACAATGTTTCCTAGTCTTCTTTGAGAACAGAAAACATCCTTCTCATCCTCATGCATAATTACAAGATAGAATATAAATATTTGTATATTTATTTAGTAAGCATTTTCCTAAACTGCTATAATCTTCATAATTATACTAATGGCTACATAATATTCCATGAAGTAGAACTATACACTATAACCACTAACCCATTTTTTTCATTCCCAGCTAGTACCCAAAGTATGGTAGGTGGGTGCTTAAAATAATATTTGTTAAACGAGTTAATAGTTCACTTTATAACCCTCAAGCGTACGGTCTTTTTTTCTGTAATTCAGAATCAATTTTCTGAACCTCAATTACCTTAATACTATCTGGAGTTGTTGAATGTAGAAGAGACAGAGATAATAACCTAGATGATTTGAGTCTAGTAACCAATAACCGAAACCATCACAGTCTTAGGCAAAATTAGAAATTTATTGAGTGATTCATTCATCCAATGCATTTTTCATAAATAGTTACTAAGATATGACACTATTCTAGGAGCTGGTGATAGACAATATTGATGAAAGCCATAACTTCTGCCTTCAAGGAGTTTCCTGTCTAGTTCTACTTTTCCATATTTCTGTCTATACCTTTATTCCATCTCAAGCCCTTCCAGATACCAAGTGCTGGCCTTCAACCTGCCTAGTTTCCTTATCATTCTCCCCCCAAAAGCCCCGTGCATAGATGTGACCCGTACTTTATTGTCCCTTTCTCCCATCTCCTTGAAAACTGGCACTCCTTCAGGATCAGCATTCTATGGAAATTTTGAAAGGAAAGAAATCTTATTTGTATATTATACTTAACAGTAGGGTGACCTCCTTTTAAAAAGGTTCAACCCACCCAAGGCAAATGTGACTTTTTAAAAACAAGCTTGATTAACCCAAATTAGTGGCTTATGTGGGGCAAATTTCTTGGGCGGCGGTGGGGGGGGGAGGCTTACTTGTCTCCTAGTCTAATAGACTAATAGAACAGCCACCTCCTCTCTCAGTATCTATTTCGAAGCAAAAACCAACACAAAAAATCAAAACAAAACTATGTAATTTGAGAGCTCCCTTTTGGATGATTACTAACCTTTGATTTATCATAAAAAGAAAAAAAGTTAAGCTGGGACTAACAGACATTTCCAGGGGAAAGGATTTTATTACTAATCCTAGTCTAATCCCTCATTTTATAGCCAAAGAAACCAAAACACAGAAGGTGGCTCACTTAGGATATGTAGCTAGTTAGTGGCAGACAAGGCAAGGACTCAAGTCCTTTAATCCAGTATTCTTTACACTTGAGGATGTTGCCTCTACTAATGGTCAATAATAGTGACCCGGGCATATTTTAAGACATCTTTCAATAAGCTATATTGTGTTACTTGTAATTCATAATCATTATGTTGTGAATATATGCCAAATTCTGTTTAGAGATTGGTAAATTAACTTTTCAGTGTCTAATACAGAAAACAACTAATAAAAACAAGTCAAAACGAAAAAAACTACTTACGCATTACTGAAGGTCTTTCTCTGAAAATAATGCCAGATCTCAATTTGTGAATTCTGCAAGCCTCAGAGTTTGAGAAATACTGTAATGGAAAGAATAAAAATTGAACTTAAAATTAATTCCAATGAAATATTTCCCCCTAAGATGCCTGTGGATACTTAAGTTCTGTTAACAATGATAATTTTCAAAGAAAATGATTGCATATATTGTTTTCATATGCTTAAGACCCAATAAGTCATTTTCAAACATCAGCTCTTCCTTAAACACCCTTCAGTTAAGAATAGCTATATACACACACACACACACACACACACAAGCGATAATGGGGACAATGACAGAGAGAAAATAAAATAATAAATAATGGAACAAAAGAGCAAATGTGTAAAGGAGCAAGGAGTATGAAAAAAATGCCTATTTCTGGGGCATGATATATCTCATTCCTACAGAAAAATACACACATTTAAGACAATTCAAATACAGACTCAAGCAACTTCCATTTACATAACAAGTTTCAAAGAAGTCAATACTTGAAAGTATTCTCCCTTTATTACATATTTTATTATTTTTTTAATTTAAATTTTAGGTAGTTAACATACAGTACAATTTTGGATTCTGTAGTAGAATTTAGTGATTCATCACTTACATACAACCCCCTAATGCTCATCACAACAAGTGCCTTCCTTAATACCCATCACCCATCTGGACCATCCCCCACCCATGTCCCTTCATCAACCCTCAGTTTGTTCTCTATCGTTAAGAGTCTTTTATGGTTTGTTTCTCTCTGTTCTTTTTTCTTTTCCCCTTTTGCCTATGTTCATCTATTTTCTTTCTTAAATTCCACATATGAGTGAGATCATGTGGTACTTGTCTTTCTCTGACTTATTTCATTTAGCATAATATACTTTAGCTCCATCCATGTCATTGCAAATGGCAAGATTTCATTCTTTTTGATGGCTGAGTAATATTCCATTGTATACATATACCACATCTTCTTTATCCATTCTCAACTGATGAACATTTGGGCTCTTTCCATAGTTTGGCTACTATTGATAATGTTGCTATAAACATCAGGGTGCATGTATCTCTTTGAATCTGTAGTTTTATATTCTTTGGGTAAATACCTAGTAGTGCAATAGCTGGATCATAGGGTAGTTCTATCTTTAACATTTAGAGGAACCTCTATACTGTTTTCCAGAGTGGCTGCACCAGTTTGCATTCCCACCACAGTGCAAGGGGGGTTCCCCTTTCTCTGCATCCTCACCAACACGTGTTGTTTCTTATGTTCTTAATTTTAGCCATCCTGACAGGTGTGAGATGGTATCATTGTTTTGATTTGTATTTCCCTGATGGTGAGTGATATTGATCACCTTTTCATGCGTCTGTTAGCCATTTGTATGTCTTCTTTGGAAAAGTGTCTATTGATGTCTTCTGCCCTTTCTTAACTGGATTGTTTTCTGGGTGTTGAATTTGATCAGTTCTTTACAGATTTTGGATACTAACCCTTTATCAGATATGTCACTTGCAAATAGCTTCTCCCATTCTGTAGGCTGCCTTTTAGTTTTTTTTGTTGATTGTTTCCTTTGCTGTGCAGAAGCTTTTTATCTTGATGAAGTCCCAATAGTTCATTTTTTGCTTTTGTTTACCTTGTCTGTGGTGATGTGTCTAGTAACAAGTTGTTATGGCTGAGGTCAAAGAGGTTTCTGCCTGTGTTCTCCTCTAGATTATTACAGATTTTAAAATGCCATTTAAATAGCATCAGTTATATCAACTCCTTAACAAGACATGGTTGGGATATCATTAAGGAACCCAGGTCTTCTGACCAAGATAAGCAATTTGTATTATGGAATTCAATATGCCATCACCATATTTTCTTAAAATTGAGTAGTTTAGTAAGTTGTAGTTACGAGTAATTTTAAACACCAAATGAAAAGATGATGCCACTGATGAAGTCTTATAGTCAATCCAACTGTATCACATTAACTTATTTTATGTTATCTTTATAATACTGAACACACGCTCACGCACACAAGTTTCAGTAAGGGTCAAAAGCATTTGCAGGAAAGCAAACTGAAACACGGTAATCACAAGCACATCAAGAGGAAGAAACCACAGCTCTAACCAACATGGAGTATCTACTGATAAGAGGGAAATAATAGCAACAGACATCAGATTTACCTAAGCAGGTGATACTTGATATGGGTGTGTTTGTGGGAAGTAGAAGAGAAAGGAGGAAAGGACCAAAATTATTTGAGTCAAAATTTGATAAAATGTCTTAGAATGGAATGAAGGGTGAAAGTGAATAAGAAATGACAGAACAACAACCCTATTACGCTTTGAACTGCTAAAAATGGTCAGGATGGATATATGTGTTTCCAAAACTAAGATACCACTCCACTTCAGACTCACTGAAAAATTTCAGTCAGTAAATATGGAGTGGCATATATATTTTTCAAATATTTCTAAAATCTTATTGCTAGAAGATAGCAAAGAGACAATGGGACTTATGGGACATCAAATGAACTACCATTCGCATTATAGGACTCTCAGAAGAAGAAAGAGAGAAAGAGGCAGAAATCTTATTTGAAGAAATAATGGCAAAAAACTTCCCTAATCTGGGGAAGGAAAAAACACTCAGATTCAGGAAACCTAACCAGCTCCAAACAAGAGAAAGCTAAAGAAACCCACATCAAGACACATTATAATTAAAATGTGAAAAGTTAAATCCAAGGACAACATATTAAAAGCAAGAGGAAAACAGCTTGTTATGTACAAAGGAATCCCCCATTAGACTATCAGTGGATTTCTCAGCACCAACTTTGCAGGCCAGAAGGGAGTGGCATGATATTCAAAGTGCTGAAAGAAAAATACTTACAACCAAGGATACTCTACCCAGAAAAATTATCATTCAGAATTGAAAGACAGACAAAGTTTTCCAGACAAGAAAAAGCTAAAGGAGTTTATCACCACTAAACTGGCCTTACAAGAAAAGTTAAGGGAACTTCTTTCATTAGTAACAAAAACACATATGAAAGAATAAGTCTCATTGGGAAATTAAATATATAGCAAAGGTAGTAGATTAATTACTTATAAAGCTAATATGAAGGTTAAAAGACAAAAGTAGTAAAAATAATTACGATTAAGATATTAGTTAAAGGATACACAAAATAAAAAGATGTGAAATGTGACATCAAAAACATAAAATGTGGAGAAGGAGAGTATAAATACTGAGCTTTAGAATGGGATCAAACTTAAGTTGTTATTGACTTAAAATAGACTGCTAGAGATACAGGCTGTTATATGTAAGCCTCATGGTAACCACAAAGCAAAAATCTATAGTAAATACACAAAAGATACGGAGAAAGGACTATAACCATCCACTAAAGAAGGGTATCAGAGGCACTCAGGTGGCTCAGTTGGTTAAGCACCCGACTCTTGCTTTTGGCTCAGGGCATGATCTCAGGATCGTGAGATCGAGTCCTGTGTCAGGCTCCTCACTCATTGGGGAGTCTGCTTGAGATTCTCTCTCCTCCCTCTGCCCCTTCCTCCCCACCCCCAACTCCCACTCAGGCACTGTCTCTCTTTCTCTCAAATAAATAAATCTCTTTAAAAAGTCATCAAACCAGGGCGCCTGGGTGGCTCAGTTGGTTAAGCGACTGCCTTCGGCTCAGGTCATGATCCTGGAGTCCCTGGATCGAGTCCCGCATCGGGCTC